ATTAATTTGTTAGTACCAAATGTATGGCTGGGGCTTAAAATGTGAATAAAGGAAAAATAATGCATAGCAAATGGAAGGAATACGGAATTCGAATTGAATAATGAACTGAAATACAATAAATACTGCAAATAACATAATAAATACAATGCACATTCCAATTGCGAGAAAAACAAAACATTGTTCATACCCCCACATAAGTAACACTTAGATAAAATATTAATCTCTTATGTTAACTTTATTCCTTTGTAGCTCTGTTTATGACGATGAATTAAAATTTCCTACTTACAACAGTTAATCACTTTTCCCCTATGAGAAATACAGCCTAGCATCAGTGCAGAATGTAGCTGATAGTACAAAGGCTGGTGTTTATTTGAATGTTTATTAAGTGGGTCAGGCAAGAAAAAAATCATTCTAAATTTCAGATTTCTACCTCTAGGGCTCTGGAAGGGAGCAGAGGCAGGTCTACAGAAACTCATTAATTAGTCATCTGTTTACATGCTAAATACTTGTAAGTGGAAAAACTACACATCAAAACTTCCCCATTCAGACTCTTAGTACAAAAGGGTCAGTGGCTTATATGAGAGTGGGGTGGTGAGGAAGGCAAGTTAGGTAAAGAAAAACTAAATGGGGAAACAATTAATTTGTTAGTACCAAATGTATGACCAGCTTTTCAACAAAAAAAGCCAGAGAGAGCCATTAAATCAATCAGGGTTTTGTTGGGGGGGGGGGGGGGGTGGGAAAGATAATCAAAATAAAATGTTAATAGTATAACTTATAATAATCACATGGACTAGACTTTTACTGATCAGTGACATGAACCCATTGCTTAGGAATTTAATAGAAAGCATCTGATTAGTCTGCAATATGAACAGCAGAAATAAAAAGCTATTGACCTGCCAAAAACAGAAGTGGTGACATTTCCTTAGTGGCTGGCTGATGTGTGAAGTGATACTTCAGGTCAAACAGCTGGTGGATTCCAGCTATATACAGTTCATGTATTCAACCTGAAGAGACCCACTTAAGTGCAAAAGGCATTACTCAGTGGTATAAAGCCAACAGATGTGGAGAAATTACTTCTTTATTGCTTACACTTTCTAAAAATACTAGTTTGGTTACCACAATATTCCAAGCAATCCCAGCTGAAAATCTAGGCCCAACTTTCTCTCCTGCCATCTGAGCTGAGAATTAGAGTCTTACTTATTCCTTGACCTAACCATCCTTAAACATTGCTTGCAAGAAGATCGCAATTCAGCATGAAGAGTCTCTAAAGTCAATGGGATTGCTCATCTATTTAAAATCTGGCATTCATTTAAGTAACTTGCTCAGTTCATCCCCCAGAGGTGGATGAAGTGATCTGAGTTTCATGATACTCTAACAAAGAGCACACTTATTCCTTTACCAAGGTAAATTTGCTTTAACTACAATTAAGAGACTAAAAGAGAAGCTACTTACCATAGCTCAATGGCCTATGTGTACAGATATCCTTAATAACAGCATCCAAATTGGCAAGTATTTGTTCATTTGGTATATCCAGCTGAAAAAGGTTAATGAAAAATTAATGATGTGGAAACACAAATGATGCTATGATTAATAAAATTAAATCTGGTTGGGTAATTATTTAATCAGTGGTTAGGGTTTTTAAAGTAAATAAACAAAAACTCATTTCCTCGTCTCTTAAAAAGTGTTAATAAATACAAATTCCCTTATTAAGGTTAACAAGATGATACCCTGCTGTGAAGAAAAAAAAACATGTTCTGAGTGGTTGTACTCTAACCAACATTAATTTAATATACATTAAGATCACTTAGTTTGTATACACACAAATCTGTAACACTGGACAATAAGTCAAGTTGCTCACAATTAAACATGCATAATTTCTTAGGTAATAACTTAATGAAAATAAACCATTTTCATACCTTTTAATTTTATACCAATGAATATACGTATAATGCGAAATCTTTTTCGACATCCCTCACTAGAGAAGAGAAATTATTTACTTTTTAAAGCTAGATGGTGAGGGGTGTATCCTATGGGATTTCCACTATTCCTACTGAGCAACAGTTCCACAGTTTATTGTGTGCGTCTCATGGTCTCGATTTTCAGACTAAATGTTTCCTTCCTCAATTTCATTACTCTTCATTCTATCTGGATCCATTCACTCTTGACTTCTATCCAAAAGTGGCATTTTTACTCTTTAAAATATTTGTGGACTTGAGTCTCCATGGCTGTAGATGTTTAAAAAAAACCCCAAAACAAAAAAACCCAAAACAACCCCCACACAACTCAACTGGTGCTTTACTGGAAGAAGCAATGCATTGCTTCAACCCAGCTCTGCAGCATCTGTATAGATTGGACACTTCAATGGGGCTTTTTGGCTCTTATCTAATAGCTGATTCAAACAGCTATTAGATGAAACTACCAAAAACACCCCACTAAAGCTCCCCATCTATACAGATGTTGGGCGAGCCGGGTCCAACTAATGCACTGCCACTTCTGGGCATGCACTGGCCTTGGCACAGGAGCACACAAAGTTTAAAGTATAGCACATTTTTTGTTTTTTTCTTTAACACCTAAAAACAGCTCAAGTCTCTAAGGCCCTCATTTAGCAGAGCTCTTCTAACTTTCCTTTAAGTCAAATCCACTCAACCCCTAACTATTTCTGGTCTTGTCTGAGCTCCCTCTAACTTTTAGTAATAGACGCCTGAAAATGAACACAGTATTACATATGTAATTACATCAAAGTCAGAAGGCAAAAGAGACTATTTACCCTCCTCATACTGGAATCACTCATTACTTGTGGCCCAAAATTGCATTCCTATTTTGCAAACTCATTTTATGTTTGCTGCCTCCCATCACTCGGATGTTGTCCAAAATTGCTGTTTTCTAGCTATCTCCCTCCTACTGAACATGTACACTTCAGATAACTTTTCCTTACGTTTCTTAGTTGTATTCTTCCAAGCTGAATCTTGTTATTTTCTGCCCATGGCTCTAATTTATTCAATTTTCTTTATATTCTCTGTCAGTAGAGTTGGTAACATTTCTCATTGTAACGTGGAGATTTCACTAATGTGCTTTGTTACCTCTTCCATGCAACTATGTACAATGTTAAGAAAACTTCTTGTGGCATCCTACTGAATATACCCCTCAATTCTAATATAATAAAGGCCTTACGACTTCCACCTTTGTGTCTGTCTGTCCATAACGCTCCAGGCCAACTGAGCACGTGCCATCCAGAGCCTTACTGAGAAAAAGACTTGCAGGCGGAGATGGGGGTGGAGGCAGTCGGAGCCAAGCTGTGCTCCCTGCTGTGGGGCGCTGCGTAGGGACCGCTGTGCGGGGAGCATGGCTTGCCGCCACACAGAGGTGGGGTGTGGTGCACTGCCGCAGGGTGCCGTGCAGGCAGCAGGGCGCGGGCAGCACCTGCCAGCTGTAGCACAAGGCTGCAGGGTGGGGCGTGCCCCCACACGGCCCCAAGCCACACCCCCCACATGGCCGCATGCCATGCCCCCCCCCTGCGCAGGGAGCATCCACAGGCTGTGGCTGAAGGGCGCACAAGAGAGGCGAGGCACGCATGTGCGCAGCTGCAGGGTGCCACAAAGGGAGCCAGAGCGGGGAGGGGCATGCAGTGCCTGCCAGTTACAGCACACGGCCGAGGAGCGGGGCACACCCCCTGCGCCAGCTCCGCTTGTGGCACCCTGCAGCCGCATGCCACGCCCCCTATGTAGCTGCAAGCCATGTCCCCTGCATGGCATGTCCTCCCCCTGCACAAAGGGAGTAACTGCTGGCTGTGGCCACAGGGTGTGCAGGGGAGGGGGCATGGCATGGCATAGGGGCAGTGGCTGCAGGGTGCCATGCAAGGAGCAGGCATGGGGGGCATGGGCAACACCCGCTAGCTGTAGCACGCAGGCCAGGGTGTGCTCCACGCACAAAACTCTGGAGCAATGTGCCCTCCATCACACCCCAGGGCCATGCCCAATGCCATGCAGCCACAGCCAGCGGGTGCTCCCTGCACCACACCATGCCACGCACCACCCTACCCCACCCCTGCACACTGCATAACCCACACCCTTACATGCCCCAAGCCACACTCCAGGGCTGCGTTCCACACCACACAGCCACAGCCAGGGGGTGCTCCCCCTGCCATGCCCCCCCCGCATGCTCCACATCACACCCTGAGGCTGCTCCCCATGCCATCAGGTCACAGCCGGGAGACATTCCCCACACTGTAGCCACTCCCTGTGCCATGCCCAGTGACCACACGACACCCCCCATGCTGCTGTGCACCACGCCCCCCGCACCACACCCTGGGGCCACTCCCCACACCATGCAGCTGCAGCCAGCAGGTGCTCCCCCTTCCACGCCCTGCGGCCACACACCCCGTGCACCCTGCACCACACCCCAGGGCTGTTCCCTGCACCACATGGCTGTAGCCGGTGGATGCTCCCCACACCATGCCCTGCGGCCATGCACCACCCTCCCGGCGCAGTCACATGCCATGCCCCTGCACCACACCCCAGGGCCGCTCCCCATGCCATGTGGTCGCAGCCGGCGGCCACGCCCCACATCATGGCTGTTTCACATGCCATGCCCCATGGCCATACACCATCCCACCACCCCATGCAGCTGCATGCCACCCCCCTGCCCCCACACACGGCACCACACCCCAGGGCCACTCCTTGTGCTGCGCAGCCATCAAGCCTTCCTCAAACCGTGCCCTGCGGCTGTGTGCTACCCTACCCCTGTGCAGCCTTGTGCCATACCACCTCACTTGTGGAACGGTGGGGGGGAGGGAGAGGAGGTGGCACCGCTGTGTGCCATGCCCCCTCACATGCAAAGTGGTGGGGAGCAGGGTGTAGCAGGGTTGGAACCAGAGCAGCAGGGGGAGCAGGGCACAACCCAGGGCGGCGGCGGCAGCAGGGCAAGACCTGGAGTGACAATGGGGGGGGGGAAGGGGAAGTGACAATGGGGGGGGGGAAGAGGAAGGGGGAGTGGCACATTACTCAGAGCAGTGGGGGAAGGGTGCGGGGTCAGACGCTGGTCTCCATCTCTGGCCCAGCCCCACCTGCTATTTTGCTAGTTTAATATATCAATCTTAGTTTACACTTTTTTGGTAAGTTTTCCATCCAAATGACAATCCAAATAGTATCTAAGCCAATTTGTATTTATTTTTCAGGTGACACTTTATAAACTAAATATTTTATGCCTAAGTAAGTAAATAGCAAAACAATGTGTATAAAAAACAGCCTTACTGTAGCTTGTATTTTACTTTTTTTGATAAAAAATTGCCAAGACTAAGAACTGAACACAGAAAAGGAATATTGAAGTCAGTTTACACATACATGCACAGGAAACTGCAAGGACAATTAAAACGCATAACCTAAAAGTAGGATTTGTCTCATTCTGAAATCATGTTCAGATCTGTAACATATTTTAAAAAGGAATCTGAATGAAGTATATAATATTTGCTCTATACAAATAAGTTTAGAGCAATCAGTGAGATGTGTTAATCTTTGCAGGATGCTCTAAATACAAACTTCTTATTAAGCTATAAAATAAAGCCAGAAAGAGCATTAAGAGAGAGAATGTAGGACAGAAAAAAGAGTTGTAGTTAGAGGGGGTTGGTTAGCAAGGGACTCACTTATACATGTTAAGTATGATACTTTGCACTCTTCTACAGCTTTGTTTAGAGAAAACAAAGCACTTGGTGGGAGGCAAAGAGTGGCTAAGCATCTTCAGCCTTTGATGGGAAAATAAAGCACAAAATGAAGTGACCTTCCCCAAGTCAGACATCAAGTCCCTATATACGACTTGGGTCGTTTCATTTTGTGCTTCATATATATAATAATGCAAGGTGCTTTAAAATAGCATTTATTCCTTTATTTTTACTAATGCATCCATATAACCATATAATATATGGTTGCATTAATAAAAAATAAAGGAATAAAAGCTGTTTTAAAGCACCTTGCATTATACAGCCTTTACTATCATACAAGCGTTTTCAATTACTTGAGTCACTGATTTAGACTTACATGGACCTATAGTAATTAATAGGAAATCTCCTTAGCCAATGAAGAAAAATATAGAGGACCTCTCACCCAGAATTAGCAGAAGATGCAACCATGAGAAAGTCAGTTATCCTGGATTAAACCTATAGTTTATAAAGTTACTTGCAACTAAAACTAAACAAAACCTCATCTTGTGTTCCACAAACACACTAAAGGCCCCCAGAAACTAAAGATATTAAACGTCTGTGTGCCCGCCTGGCCTTGAACATCTGGTCTCAGGCGGCTTTGGTCTGGATATGCGATGGTGTCTGCCTTGTTACCCCAGGTGGCCCGTCGAGTAGGTGTCTGCTCCAGATGTGGTCTTGCAACTAAAACTAAACAAAACCTCATCTTGTGTTCCACAAACACACTAAAGGCCCCCAGAAACTAAAGATATTAAACGTCTGTGTGCCCGCCTGGCCTTGAACATCTGGTCTCAGGCGGCTTTGGTCTGGATATGCGATGGTGTCTGCCTTGTTACCCCAGGTGG